ATATTTGCTACGATAATCAATTATTTTACTTATTTATCGATTATAAGTATGATCTCGAAACTACCAGTAAATCAGTTGTATAAGATGTATATAGTGAATAGATCTCATATAACCGATTTTATGGTCATCTCAAGACCCTAATTAAAAACGAAAACTAAGTAATAAAGTTTGTTGTTATAGCAAATATAACTTTGCTTAATCGACAATCTCACCAAAGAAAGTAATTTTGGAAAATTCCAGGTCTTTCTTGAAATTCACATACAGCCTGTGATCAAACGGCGCTTGTACCTATGCGGCGTAGTGAATAACATATCGGGATTATGCATTACACTGTCATGGATCGAGACCCGCTGGGAGTTTGGATAAGACCTAGGTGAGGTTGAAACTGCCGTCCACCCTGGACAAGAATACCTTTTCAGGCTATGTGAAGTTCAATGGAAGCATCAGCTCGATAAGTTCATCACCTTAAGCGAAATTGAATAAATACATCTATGGTAGTCCCTAAATCCTCTTATTCGTGAAAAATACCGGTTTGTCTTATCGACAAACCTGCCAGAAATGTGAATTCGCTGTGATCTGCCCTGCCTTGAAAGATTTTCTGCCATATTACCTAATTGCATATGTGGCTGTGACGAGGAGTAGTCAAGTTTCGCTATTGTGGGTATTTTGCTGCGACCTAGACAAGGTCAAAATTGTGGTCCAGTCCAGCCTAGAAAATAACTATTTTTAGAGACAAAGCTAAATCAACTTCAATGACAGTGTGGTCATACAAATAGCATTGTGGGAAAAACTGATCTATAGCTCCTTATGTCACAATAATGACTTATAATGATATTTTTCCATCCCACACATTTGGGGCTCGTTCTGTCCAATTATGCCATTAAGTTCAACCGGTCATGTCCAACTAAACAGACTAATAAGAGGCAAGGAAGAGAAAAATTGCCAGGTCCTAACAAAATTATTTACAGAAAAGCATCTCCAATTCATTGGCACATACCTCTCGATTTGCTTTATTGATGTTCAGACCAGCTCCCATGTAGGCGGGCATTCTATATCCAGTGCTTGCATCACTTGAAGCAATAGAAATTCCCAGGTGATCATCTTCCAACCGACTCCCTTGCTTGGCGAATTTTTCGTTATCTTCTGCTTCTTCGTACTGCTCTTCCTTTCTATCCTCAAATGCCTCTTCCTCCACCGGTTCCATTGCGTCTGTTCTTCCCTTTGCCCTTTTACTGAAATGGCTTCTTTGAGGCTTGGCCGCTTTGGTGGAAAGGCTTTGAACACATGTCTTTGCATGATTACCAGTAAATAGACTAAGCCTCCGAGCTTGGTCGGGTGCCTCAGCTAGGTCCCAGACCACTAAACTACCGTCAGAGATCCCGGCTACTACCTGGCAAATAAACACAGAAAACAAAGGGATTTAACTAAGCATAGATATTATTGCAAAAGTTGATAATAATCTTAATTATTACTTAAATAGCATCATGCCGAATAGAATATTGTGCTAAATCAATGACAAAATATCTTTGTGAATTGTCCCTGAGCTCGTACTCGAACAAGCCATACAAACACAATTTTTCAGGGTGAGCTATGATCCAAATTCACTATTTTTATGTGGATTACATAATAATATTAATAATAAATGATTTTTAAATCATTAAAGTAAGCAATCTTCTATTCGTATTAGAGTAGGGTTTCGAGACTACCAGAAAATAAGGTTTCGAAACTCACAGTCCTCTATTTAAAATATCTAAAGTCAAGATAACAATAATCCCTCTAATATCTTCCCTTCAGATTACTAGGTTCTCCTAATTTAGTGAATAATTACTCTATTGATTGGGAATGAGGATAGATAATCAAACTTCTGAGAGATGAAGGATACAAAGATAATGCTAGAAATGACGAAAAAGATGCTTCCTCGAGAGAGTATTCACCTTTTGAGACACAGTCGGAGGAAAATGTACATTTTGGCTATCGTAATACATTTACCCTCATTATCTGGATGCCGACCATATTCACTGGTTGATGGTTAAGGTAGCATTCGGACCCTGAAGTTTATCTAGAGATGTTTATCATTTT